GATTTTGAAGCCAGAAATATTTTTTCTTAGTAAAAATGTTTATGAACGATACAGATAATACAATTTACGATATTCCTTTAACAATATTGGAAGCGGAGATATTGCTGTTATCTTCGTATTTTGTTACATCAAACAAATTGTGAATCTGAAACTCTCTTCCTAGCAACCTAACTTCCACACAAGCCACACGCTTAATACCGCAAAAGTAAGGGATTGAAGATTCTAAATTTCTCTGAACTGATGAGCTTTACATTTCCCCGCAACGATTGTTGTTGATGGTGTACTAATCGGTAACATTAATGTCTTTTTAATAGAATGTTGTATATAATATCAAAGGAATATTTTAGTGCCGACTGGTAAATTAAGGTAATGTTGTGTTTTGTTTCTCTCGAGCTTTTTGTATTTATTGCTTTTGAATGTCAGACAAATATAGTCTTGAAGAGCTTTTATTGTTGGTTTTTACGATACTGTTATGGTTGGATTATACCCTTTTACTTCGCCTGATTGTCCATTGTTATTTTAAACTTATTCAGCCACTGTGAATTGATGTGTTGCAGCAAGTTAACATTGTGATCATAAAGACAGCATTCACAACGCAGCTACTCCATCACCCAACTAGCAATAGAATAGTTTGTTTAAACAATTTCATTTTCCCATTTCTCTGTGTGTTATTTTAGATAGTATATTGTCCCTTATTAAATGTTAGTATGTGGCTAATGTAAACGCTTGTGACATTTCTTGTTGTTGCCTACCAAGTCTAACATTAGGTGGGCATTTTTTCTTTCGTGAAGTAGCCCTTTTAGTCTCTTTCAACCTTGTTTCTGTAATTGTTTTTTTGTGTTCTTTTTCTGTTATAGATTGTTTATCAGCCATATGAATACGTCTAGATTATCTTTTTCTTGCTGATATATTTACCAAAGTTTAGAAGAGATACTTATTTTTTGTAAATTTTTATTGCATCCAGTGATAGTAAGCATTTGTACAACCGTATCACTATGAAATAGAAAAGGTACCGCCTTCTTTAACATCACAGAACTATTAAAGCTGAATCTGTCCGTTACGTGTTGTGGAAATTTTAAGATAATGTAACATGGACTGTAAATACTATGTACTACAATTATTGTTGGCTAGCGTTTTCCGAATTGATAGTGTCGTAACTAACTACTTAACATATGTTCTGTGTTGTAATGAAGTACCCAAATAGACTGTCTAAATTTAAGTATCGCATCTTCTGTCAGACTTTTACCATCTTGCAGTAAACAGAAGATCCAGCCTGTTGACCACTATGTGCCTATGATTCAATTCCTTACATCAAGGGTTCGCCAGAAAGTTCCCACAAACGCTGGTGCACAGGTTTACAATCTTCTGTCACAATTGCCATGCATTATTTACGATTGCAATTGGAGTATATCTAGTCATACTATAGTGGCAATTGTTTGTTTCTCCATATCAGTATGAATTGGTTCATATTTAAGGTCTGGTTATTCGATTGGAACTCATCGTCATCCGCAAAGGCATCTTCCATTCAGAGATCAATTTCTGTACGTGGAAGAAAAAGTGAGATTAGTGAACTTAATTAGCCAACTCTGGAATATTAATTGATATAGTTCTAATATTGCATACATCCTGTATTGTCTCTTGTAGTCCATCACAGACGTACTGTTATTGTCTATCAAAATATTAGCATAAAATAAAACCAACATACATTGAACAAAATCTCATGTTGCACTGTGGTCTTTATGTTTCTTGATTCATAACTGTTTTATTTTATGTTATGTCTCTGTTATGTTTAGTAGAGAAGGGTTCAAAAATGTTCAGTAGCTATGTTGGGAAGGTATAGTTTACATTTATAATATATTCTTAACTCATTAAGTTGATTCTATATCGTGATTTGGTTAACTTGAGTTAACACATTTAACGCGTATGATTGAGTAGTGGTACATGAGAGGGTAATGTAACAGTTTTATTTTAATTGCAAAAATCCGAAGTGAATAACTTAAAATAAAAAGAATTGAAGAATCTTCTCTTTTGCAAATACGACGGTTCACTATTTAATGTTTTTTCAAGCTCACATGAAATTCTCTGTTGATATGATTGTTTTTTCTCTTCAACATCCAAAGACAATATTAATCACCAATTTATACAATAGTTGAATTACTGGTAAAGTGCAACCCTTTCGCACAGTACCAGTTGTAATACCTCATCTCTCTCTCTTATATATATATATATATATATATATATATATATATATATATATATATATATATATATATATATATATATATATATATATAGTCTTGTTCGATTGTACCAATAGCCCAATAAATAGCTTAATTTCAATAACTAATGTATACGTGTAAAAATTATGTATTCACAGTCTGTATATATGCAAACACTGAACTGTACTGGTCTCCATTTCATGGTGTGGAATTATTTGATTTGGCTGAAATGTTTGATTATTTCTTGTGGTCAAAGATTTCTCGATATGCAACATTGTTAATGTCGATAAGGTTAGTAAGTGCATAGTTGATTGAGGACTTTACTAGGTCTCTGATGTGTCTTCGATGTTGAAATTTGAGAAAAGCTTAAATAAATAATGATTATGTCAGTGTATTAGATTCTAACCAAACTTTATCAGGATCTTGTATATATATATACTGCTTGCATTCTCTAAATAGGAGTTTTTATCAGCTTGGTTGTGTAGTGTATATATAGTTTGCTCAATTAACAAAATGTTCAATTTTTCATATTTTATTACATATTTCTCACGTGTGTGATGTCTTTTTCTCGTAGTGAATAGGTTAAAAGAACATTCATCTATTGTATATCTGACTTTCATTAATCTTTGAGTATTGACCTATATAGGCTTGATGAGACCTTTCAATTCTGAATACAAATTGACGTATTAAACCATATCAAATATGCGATTTCACTACATAGTCTTGATCAGCCCTACTCTTAGTATTATCCGTGGAAAGAAATTTATAAATCAACATCATCCCTGGCGCATTGCAGCAAATATTGTTATCATTCATAAAGATCACTCAACTTTGTTATTCACATCATTACCTTTTTGCACCGGAACTAACTTTAACTATTATTTTATCCAAACTTAACTTGTAAACTAGTGCATATTATATCTTGATAAAAATATTTGCCATATTCGTTAAATTAGTTTTTTGCTTGTTAATCAACTGTAAAGGAAGGTGACCAATATCTAATTCTTTTTGTTGTGTTAGTCTTTGCAAGGAAAGTGACCCAGAAATGGGAGGGAGATAAAGGAGCCTGCATTTATATTATATCATGGCAAAGTATACATTTGTGCTTGTGAAATGCGATCCTTAACTACTGAGTGTTGGGTTGGTACTAATAGAAGTATGGCTGATAAATTGTAAATATTTCCAAAGTCGAATATTTGAACTAACTGCATGTACTTTGCTTACAGATAGCTTTTCGTCATTGTAGAAATTTAATTTTCTTCTATACATCAACGATACACTCCATTACACTTTAAGACGAAATGCAGCCGAAATTTATTTCACACATTCCTTCTGTGCAATGGAACGCAGTACAAAGAAAAAGATGTAAAATTTGAGCTACATTTACATTTTGTTATCGGGAACTTTCTTCTATCATAATTAAATCCGACTGTTACATATCCATCATTATTATTTGCTAAACTAACATGATACGTATTGTCTCTTCTATGACCCAGACGTCTATGAATAGTATTGGAAACCACATGTACATAACAGCTGTAAGCGTTCGTCAATAATTCTCATTGCTTGCGTTTATAACGGCTCATTCCTTATAACTCAGTGGAATGAGACTATGGTCATGTATCGGCTGATGCATAAGAGATATGCTAAAAGGAACTGTGAGAAAAGAACTGACTAAGAAAGATGAAGGCACACATATTGAATTGAATTGGTATGGCCTATCGCCTTTAATTAATATAGGTTAATGACTATGGTATGTATTTAGTCATGCCTTCTTCGTATTATACAGGTCTTTGTGCCTTTATTGCATGTTGACGTGTTTTGCTACGGTTTGTAATTGGTAACAAATTTATAAGTACAGAAAAACTGCTTATATCTATCTTGTCGCATTTTCATTTCATCATGAATTCAGGCCAAATTCACTAAAATTCACTAAAACGTCTACAGTCTTAAACACACTTTGACATGTTTGCTTTTGCACTGGAGATATGGACAGATAACTAGGGGAAATTAAACTGATTTTGGCATAACATGCTTGGGAAAAATGCACGATACCCGTGATGTTTATTACCTGATTACGGTACATTAACCATTTTATTAAATTCTAATTTTCAAGAAACTATGGAAGTAAGAATCATTTATATTTTCATTACTAAAATATTATACCAAGAAATCATAAATGTTACCGAAATGTATGCCTTGTTAATACGTAAATTAACGTTAATCAGAGTCAGTAATATTAGTAGTTTTAAAGTCAACTATGGACTTGCTATAAGCCTGAAACACATTGAATCGATATAAGCAAGAAACGCAATGAATTATTGAAATCCTGAAACGTCTGTGGAACTGATGTAAGCCTCAAATGCATTTGATTGATATATGCCTGAAATGCATTGAATCAATGCAAGCCTCAATGTAGAACTGACGTTAGCATGAAACGTAATGATTTTGATGTAACCAGAAACGCGTTGAATTAATGTAAGCATGACACGCCTTCGGTTGCTCTAAGTCTGATGTGATGTGTTGTGATGTGATGTGATGTGATGTGATATGAATTGGATTATTTTAACGTAGTTTTAACAATTTTTTCAGTTATATCGCTACTATGTCTGCATTGTGGCAGTTTAGAGCGATGTCAAGCACTGGAGCATCCTGGCGCAGACATGTAGCATGTTGTCCCACCCAGTCACATTATCCAGACACAAGTCCGATTAGTCCTAACACAAACCTCTAAACATCAAGCGAGGCAGCTGTTAGTACCAGTTTTATAAGTCTTTGATATGATTTGGTCGGGGATCGAAACCGCTACCTCCCGTTTCCGAGGCGGACGTTCTAACCACTAGGCCACCGGAGTCTGAAACGCCTGGGACTACCTCTTATCTGGTAGATATGAAACTAAGACAACTTTATTTTAAGCCTGCAACAGCAGATAAGTTAACGAAAATTACATTTGTACTTACTTATTTAACTCCATCTTCCTAAATAAAAGTAACAGCATTGTACACAACATTATATTTGTACTTACTTATGTAACTTTATCTTCCTAAATACAAATTATATCATTGTACACAACACTACATTTGTACTTACTTATGGAACTTCATCTTCTTAATAAATGATCGAAATGTATGCAAACATTACAAATTTCTCAGAGTTGTTTGAAACATTGTACGAAAAAACTATAATTTTAGTGCAATGTTCACTACAAATAGTACTGTTTTATATACCAAACATTTAGAGGGCTAACCATAGTTATTTTAAAGACAGACCGGTGCTGAAAAGTCATCCTTGCAACTATTACTAAATATAAATGAAAATCATGTCTTCTTCATTGCGAAGACCCTAATAGTTATTGACAAATTAATTTTCCTGCATTTTATTCTGCTAAGTTATATAATTTGTTATTACATTCCATGTCTGCAGAGGCCTTTTTACTGGCGTCCCTGTTGGGGCCCCGAGTGGCCGAGTGGTCTAAAACGCTGTCCGTTACGGATCACTGCCATCTCACCTCTGTCTGCGTATGTTCGAGTCTAGGATTCGGCTAATGTAGATATGTGAGAAAGCTTGCCAGTAATTTCTCGTGGGTCGGTGGTTCTTTCCGGTGATTTCCCGGTTTCTTCCTCCACCATTAATACTGGCCGCCATGAATAGCCTATCGTGTGCTGAAAAATGGCGTGAAGCCCAACAACAACAGCAACAACTGGCGTCCCTCTTATAATGGTTACGTAAATAGTCGTTTTACCAAATGCTGGTACGTTGGCTTACAATGGAAACTGTATCCGTCCTGAATTGTTACAAGATTATTGTTTGAGTCCCGTAGGTGTACTTTCTCAAGACGATTAAACTAATTATATATCATGTATCAAAATGCTATAATAAATATCCTTTAAATGAGACTTTCAATACATATAAATGATCCATCTTATGCACAAAATCAAGAACTGTATTATACTTTTATATCAGCAATATAAAGTAGAAACATAATGCTTTCAATAGTTAGCAATATGAAGTACATTTGTAAAAAATGTAAACACGCATGATTCTTTGAACTTTCTGAGAAGTCAACGGTCTAATTACAAACCTATTCTCATCATTATCAACTGCTTATGACATTCTCACGATTTTGCTTTTTACTGTCTCTATATGACGCATTTCTTTAGGATAATAAACAATAGCCGAAGTTAAGTCTGGATTTGCATGATGATTATCGGTTTCCCTATCAGCCAGTTGAGAATGATAAGATAAGCTTCATAGAGATTTCTGATTATTTCTTACAAAGACTAATCTTTGCATTGTGTGAATTACTTTGCCCGTACAATTTGAATACAAGAGTTAGAAGTGCTTTTATCAAATGGGTGTTTACTGTTGATATGACTTAAACATAAACATAAAGATCAGGTCACATTTTTAAAGTTATTTTATGCAAATCCATTGACGTCTCATAAATATTATATAACTAGTGTTTAAAGGACAGTTTAGTAACATGCTACTTTTGCATATATGATTTATATCAAATCGTAAAACACGGTTTGGATTCAAATCCAATTCACAATTATGTATAATAATATGCTGATCGGCAAAGAGTATAGATCTCACGATTAGCGGTACGTTACTTAGGTGAAATTAAATATGCATACGATATTAAATGGATTGGTCAAATATGAGTTCGAAGCATCACGCGAAATATTGATGAAGAGACACTCATTCGTGCATTTTTCACACCATATTGGGAAAGAAATTCGGGAACAGATAAGCTTGTCATACAAGTTATGGCGAAATTAAATGAATCCCGAGTTGACCTTGAAATTCTCGCAAAACAATAACTGCAGTTTATACATCCTGTTTATTATTATTATTATTATTATTATTATTATTATTATTATTATTATTATTATTATTATTATTATTATTGCAGGTCCTCTTCTTCATTCAAATATCAATTTCGCCAAAACCATTGCGTCAAATCAACACTATACAGCAAGTCAACAGCAAATCAATAGTGAGTCAGCAGCAAACCAGAACAAAGGAACATAATGCAATTAAGAGACTGAGATCTGATTTGTTCCGCATTATTTTCAATGGTTAAATTAAATGCCTTGAAGACTAAATGATTTTTCCTATTTCGACATTTTTTCTATAAAGACTATCATTGAAAAGTCATGAAATATCGCAAATTTCATGTGCCAGTTGATATATTTTATATTAGCCAGATTAATGTGTTTATATCAGACTCGATGATAAAGGCAATAAAAGTCCTTACCACTGTGTCCAATAGATGCGCTCACTTCACTTGTGTGTACCTGATTGTGCCAAAATTGCTTTGTTTTCATTAACTATAATTATTCACCTTAAACTTAAAAGTTCGCAAAGGGAAAATACCTAAAGACATAATTGTTGCATACGATGAAAATATAGTGTACCCGGGATAAATATTTGACAACTGGGTTAATCATGTATCGATATTTAAAAAGGATTACATCTTTTAAAGTCATATTTTGTTCACATCTGCTTCATATAGTGCGATAATGACACCAATGGAGTCTAATAAACAATTATATATGCCGCAGCTGAAAGATGGCAAAGAGAACAAAAGCCGATGTTAATTATCACGGATAGATCAGTTTCATTTGCCTTAAAACCATACAGAAAATATCAACAAAGTTTTATCGAGGCAATCATCATATAATGCATGTCTAATCATATTGTACTCACGACAGCCTTGCTTGATAAACGTCTGATAATTCCATAAAAGCGACGGTGATCAAAGCAAAATTTGCATCCAAATTATAAATTGACTAGCATAGTTAAAGGTAACATTGGACTGCAATGAAATTCTTCCGTTTCAGAGGGTTTTTTTTCTGGATCTTGAAATAATATAGTAGAGACCGGAATGCTAAGTGTCGAAGTAGGGGATAATATATTTCATCTGGTCTAGGTATTTGAGTGCGTCCTGTGTTACCATACGTAATTATCATCTATATCGAATAACTAAAACGACTTTTTAGATGGTAAAAATTGGCGTCTGACATTAATTGTAAGGTGGCAAAATGAAGAAAGAAAAAGCAAGAAAAGATGGAACTGGAGCCAGAATAACCATTCTAAAGTATCTGATACTTATGTTGCATTCTAATCTTATTGTTCTCATAATGCTAAAATGGGTAATTGTCATTTGTGAATTATGGCTTGAAATTAAATTCCTCCTCGTTGCCTTTCAACTGGAGCTCCACACTAATTATGTTACGATTTCAATATTTGGATAAACACTGAAGAATTGTGAATCGTTAATTCCATTATTTCATTACACATACATAATTTACACTACAAGGGTAAAGCAATTCAACTTTTGTCAGTTCTATAAGTCTTTCAAACACAATTGCACCGATTGATGCTCAAATATAATTAAGGTTTCTCGTCGTTACAGCCTTAATTTATCCTCTACCGTAATTTCAAAATGGTAGGATATAAATTGTGGTTCAAAGTGCAAATCCAATTTTCATGTTATTGACTTGGAAATCTCATTGTTTTCGGGGACTCGTGAACAAAACAGGTAAAACCATAGTCATAGAATTTAATTAGCACTAATATCAAGTACCTTATAACAATCCTACCCACAGATATATACTCTCCGATTTCGAATTAATATTCGATATATGAAATATGAGTAACTTAAACAAAACACACTTTCAATAAAATTAAATGATATTAGATCTTCCATCATATTAAGTTAAGCATTGCATTAAGATGACTGATTGTGAGTGGTGTCTTTCTTAAGTAATTGAAAATGTAAGTCAACTTGTTTATAGTATCGACACATGTTAGTAAGTCTCAAAATCGTGTTTAGTTTCCAATTTTAAGCGTATATGATTGAAAAAGAATATTACCGATATAGTGTGCATATAAATAAATAATTCATTTACCTAGGCTACGAAGCAGAAATGTAACATACTAGGGAGATTACTTCAGGTCACGAATTTCGTCGGGAAATGCCACATCCACATTTAGCTTAGCTAAACCAGAATTACTTTTATCTAACTGTCAAAAGTTACAACAATTCTCTATTTCCGTTTTTATTATTAACTATTTCAATAGAAGCTCATTTTATTACACTTATTTCATAATGTAACAAATCGTCTCAGGATAGTCTCAGCTTTGGCATTTTTCCTATACTTAACTCCGCAATTCACCACGCCCTTTCATCTGTCTGAACGTTATCCCAGCAGTCTAATTACCTCTCAACCATGCCCACAAATCACGGAGGTCAACCTATATATCAAATTAAATTGCAACGTGTCATGTTGACCGCTACCAAATTTCTTCAGTTGTAGTTTTTCAAAGTTCTCTCTGTTCTATTCGCATTAAATCAATTGTATAAGCTGTTTAAAATAAAGGTGTATGTGCATATATCAGCAGATCATGTCCTTAATTAGTTACTCACTTTTAAAATGACAGAGGATAGGGTTTCTTAGGAGAATCTCGCATTCTACACCTCATTGTAGAAAGGCATCACAATAGGATAGAAACACAGAGTTAATGAGAATTAAAGTACATACAACGAAACAAGGTTCCCTGCATTGCTAAAAAAAAATCTGGCAGAATACAATTTAATTATGCTTTGATAAAATTCACTTTGAGACCACTGTGCACCTAAATTCAGTTAAATTGTTGCGAGTAATTGAAGGCGTATTTCAGTGACTAATGGTGTAACAATATACAATGATCTAAACTAAGCTCAGTTGTCTCAACATTATATGAGTGCTGCGAAATTAAACTAAACAAGAAAGCATCTCCTAGATAACGATAACGAAACAAAAGAAAGCAGCCACATAAAATGTGGGACCGTCAACGGTAATGATTG